AATAATAACAACAATAATAATAACAATAATAATAATAACAATAATAATAATAACAATAATAATAACAATAATAATAACAATAATAATAATAGTAGTAATATTCTGAAAATTAGAAATCACACCAATTGTATAAATATTTAATATTTTTGTATTTTTGTAATTTTCTAGCCAAGACAACGTTCTAAATTGTGTTCTTTTTACATTGAAAAAAATTGATTCTTTTTGGCCGGCCTTTTTAAAAAAAACTGCATTAAGGGGTTAAATGCGAAAAAGCTGTTTTAACCGAGAGAAGAAGACAAAAGCGGCGTTCGCGCTGGTTCCGGTTGAAGGAAAAGGGTTCGCGCGTTCGCGCCGGGTTCATTATTATCTGCCAATTGCGAGTCGAAGAGGTGGAGTGACCGGATGGGTAGGCGTACACCGGGATCCTTCGTGAACAGCCAATGAAACCTCCTTTCACGATGTTTTACATTATGTATTCTTTATGTTGCCAAGTCACTATCTCTGCCCGTGCTCCGCCCTTACCCACGCATATATAACTCGCCTGCTCCGGCACTATACGTACTTAGAACGTAAAAGGAAGTTGCTTGCGTTAGGGTGCCTTCACACCGGCAACATAGTAAACGAATAACGAGAGATCTTGTTCGGCGAAGTTCCGAATTAATTCGCGAAGAATATTGTATATAATATTAGGTTTGTTTATGCTGCGCGTAAGCACGTCGCAAATTTTCAAGAAATTGTTTTATAAAAATATGAGGAAATCTGGAACATTCCTTCCGGTGATCGTGGAACAATAATATTAATTATTAGCGAATGCGAGACAGTTCGATTATTTATTATATTATATACTATTGATATTATTATGTTATTGATATATTATTGATATATTATTGATATATTTATTCGATTATTCGAGACAGTTCGGTACGAATTCGGTAATTTAGAAATTTCACTGAATTGAAAACTTTAAAAAATGGCGAATTTCATGTGGAAACTGTTCTGTATCGATGTGGTAAATATTCTTCAAATTCTCGAATTTGTAATTTATTTATTCCTCTTCTAGATTGAAATCGCAATGTATTTGAAAATTTTCCAGTTCATCGTTGTAAACTTTTTCATTCTACATAATATAAATTAACAGTTCATTCAGTTTCATCAAATTGTAATCTTCTTTTTTTCTGTCTACTTTCTTTCTTTAATTTGTATTTTTTACTGGCAAATTTGCAATATCTTCTGTAAGCTCGAAATTGTATTTACGCAATGATATAAGTATGTATTCTTTTAAAAATGACATCTTTTGATCATTAAATCGTTTCT